TCCCACATGGTCTGGGTGGATGATCTTTCTGATGTGCTGTTGCATTCTATTGGCCAGAATTTTATTGAGGATTTTTGCATCAGTGTTCATCAGGGATATTGGTCTGTAATTTTCTTTCAATGCTGCATCTTTTTCTGGCTTAGGGATTAAGATGATACTGGCTTCATAGAAAGACTTTGGGAGAATTCCTTCTTTTTTGATTGTTCTGAATAGTTTGAGAAGAAATGGAGTTAGTTCTTCTTTAAATGTCTGGTAGAATTCAGCAGTGAATCCATCTGGTCCTGGGCTTTTCTTTGTTGGGAGGGCCTTTTTTACTGTTTCAACTTCTATGTCAGTTATGGGTCTATTTAGGTTTTCTATGTCTTACTGGTTCAATTTAGGTAGGTTGCATGTGTCCAGGAATCTATCCATTTCTGATAGATTTCCCTGTTTGCTGGCATACAAGTCCTTGTTAGTAATTTCTGATGATACTTTTTATTTCTGTGGTGTCTGTTGTTATGTTTCCTTTTTCATCTCTGATTTTATTGATTTGGGTCTTTTCTCTTCTTTTTTTTTGGTTTGTTGGACCAATGGAGTGTCAATTTTGTTTATTTTTTCAAAAACCAGCTCCTTGTTTAGCTAATTTTTTATAATGTTTTTTGATTCAATCCTGTTGATTTCTTCTCTGATTTTAATTATTTCTCTTCTCCTACTAGATTTGGGTCTGGTTTGCTGCAGATTTTCTAGATCCTTGAGATGCATTGAAATCTCACTTATTTGGTGCCTTTCCAATTTCTTGATGTAGGCACCTATTGCTATAAACTTTCCTCTTAACACTGATTTTGCTGTATCCCATAAGTTTTGGTATGTTGTGCTGTTATCCTCATTCACTTCCAGAAAGTTTTTGATTTCTCTTTTAATTTCTTCTATGACCCAGTGTTCATTCAGGAGCATGTTGTTCAGTCTCCATGTGTTTGCATGCTCTCTAGGGATTCCTGAGTTTCTAATTTCTAACTTCATTTCTCTATGGTCTGAGAAGCTGCATGGTATGATTCTAATTCTTTTGAATTTGCTGAGACTTTCTTTATGGCCTAGCATGTGGTCAATCCTAGAGTAGGTTCCATGTACTGCTGAGAAGAATGTAAATGCTTTATGTGTAGGATGAAAAGTTCTGTAGATATCTGTTTGATCCATTTGGGCAATAGTGTCATTAAATCTGCTTTTCCTTGTTGATCTTCTGTCCTGTTGATCTGTTATTTCTGAGAGTGGAGTATTGAAGTCCCCCAGTACTATTTTATTGGGGTCCAAGTCTCCCTTTAAGTCCCTTAACAGATCTTTTAAATAGACTGGTGCCCTGTAATTAGATGCATATACATTGATAATTGTTATATCTTCCTGTTGAATTGATCCCTTAATCATTATATAGTGCCCCTCTTTGTGTCTCTTAACAGCTTTTGTGCTAAAGTTTATTTTGTCTGATATTAAGATGGCTACACCTGCTTCTTTTTGGTTTCTGTTGGCATGTAATATCTTTTTCCAGCCTTTCACTTTCAGTCTGCATGCATCTTTGTTGGAAAGATGTGTTTCTTGTAAGCAGCAAATAGATTGGTTTTGTTCCTTAATCCATTCAGCTATTCTGTGCATTTTAACTGGAGAGTTGAGTCCATTAACGTTCAATGTGACTATTGATAAGTAGTAACTTTGCCCTGCCGTTTTGCCAAAGATATTTTCTAATATATGCTTTGAGCTTCCTGTGATCTTTTGCTGTGAGGTTTCCTTCCTTTACCTTCTTTCACACTGATGGCTGTGTTTCTGTGTTTCTGTGTTTCTGTGTGTAACACATCTTTAAGCATCTTTTGCAGGGCTGGTTGAGTGGCGACAAATTCTTTCAATTTCTGTTTGCTATGAAAGGTCTTTATTTCACCTTCATCCACAATTCACAAATGAGAGCTTTGCAGGATATAATATTCTGAGCTGCCAGTTTTTCTCTCCTAGTACCTGGGCTATGTCTCGCCATTCCTCCTAGCCTGTAGGGTTTCTGATGAGAAGTCAGCTGTGAGTCTAATTGGAGTTCCTCTGAAGGTAATCTGACGTTTCTCTGTTGCACATTTTAGAATCTTTTCTTTATGTTTCACTATGGTGAGTTTTATTACAACGTGTCGTGGTAAGGATCTCTTTTGGCCATGTTTATTAGGGGTTCTATTATCTTCCTGTACTAGGATGTCTCTGTCCTTCTCCAAACCTGGGAAATTTTCTGCTGGTATCTCACTAAAAGGCCTTCTAATCCTTTTTCCCTCTCCATACCTTCAGGAACTCCTAGAATCCGAATGTTGGTTTTTTAATAGTATCCTGTAGATTCCCAACAATATTTTTTAGATTTCTAATTTCCTCTTCTTTTCTTTGGTTTGACTGTATACTTTCCTGTGATCTGTCTTCTAAGTCCGATATTCTCTCTTTTGCTTCACTCATTCTTTTTTTAAGGCTCTCTAATGTGTTTGTCATTTGATCTATTGAATTCTTCATTTCATTATGATTTCTCTTCACTATCACACTTTCCTGTTCTACTAGTTTCTGTGTTTCATTTTGATTCCTCCTTAATATTTCATTTTCATGAGAGAGATTTTCTATCCTGTCCAGTAACAATTTCTGTAGTACAAGCATTTGTTTTGAAAACTTCTAAATGTTTTTCTCACAAATTTTTTGAGATCCATTTCTTGCATTTCTTCCATCTCATCATCTTCATAATCTTCGCTTGGGGTGTCTTGTTCATTTGGGGGCATCATAGTGTCTTCCTTGTTCTTGTTTCCTCTGTTTCTGCGTTTGTTGCTTGGCATTATGTAGATATCTTTGGGTTCTTCTTCCCTTGCTGTGGTGTTTTTTTCTTGTTATACTATGACTGTATTAAGTGGACTGTCTGCTTTTGATGGAGCCTTAGAGGCTTGAGATGGGTGTGGCCAGAGAGCTCTGTTTGGTTCCTCAGGGTTAAGGGTGTGCCAAAGGTGACACTCCCAGTTTAGGTGTGGTAAATCTCAATCTCTCTCTCTCTCTCTCTCTCTCTCTCTCTCTCTTTGATTCAGAAGGGAAGTAATTCCGCACAGCTGAATGGAATTGAAGGTAGTCAGCTTCTGATCTCTGGCTCCTGTGGATATAACATTCGCCTGCTCTTTCCCAAGGACTACACAGGGAATCTGTGCTTCCCTCAGTGTGGGCTCAAATTCTCCTGCAGTCTCCCACTGGGTTGCCAAGGTTATCGAGTTGTAGTGTCGCTGGAGAGTACTCACGTGAACTCTGTGAGTTCTCTCACCCACCCACTGTCTCTTTTTTCACATTCTCACTTCATTAGCACTACACATTCACTAGGTCCTAATCTCCTATTATTTTACTCCCCCGCTCCCATAGTCAGGTTTTTCTGCTTGGCTGAGAGCGTGCACAGCTCTGAGGTCATGCAGCTTTTATGTATGTCCAAAATGGTGGCCGGCGCCGCAACTCAATAGGCTAATCTTCCACCTAGCGGTGCCGGCACACCAGGTTCTAATCCCGGTCGGGGCGCTGGATTCTGTCTCGGTTGCCCCTCTTCTAGGCCAAATCTCTGCTATGGCCCAGGAGGGCAGTGGAGGATGGCCTAAATCCTTGGGCTCTGCACCCCATGGGAGACCAGGAGAAGCACCTGGCTCCTGCCTTCGGATAGGCGCGGTGCGCCGGCTGCAGTGGGCTGGCCGCGGCGGCCATTGGAGGGTGAACCAACGGCAAAAGGAAGACCTTTCTCTGTCTCTCTCTCTCACTGTGCACTCTGCCTGTCAAAAAAAATGGCGCCTGCTCTTTGTCTTGTTCCCCTTTGAGAGATGAGCGGAGAGAGAGAATCTCGTGTCCGTACCAGTCTCTCTCTCTCTCTTTTTTTTTTTTCCTCTCTCCTCTAGTTAGCCTGGTGAACTGTCCTCCACAGGGCTTTAAGCCTTGTTCCCTCTAGGCTCCTCCTTCTGCTTTCCTGCCAGTGTCTCCAGCTACTGAGGTTCAGCTCACCTCGTGTTCCAGCACTGGTGTGTAGATTCTGCCACTGTTGTCCTGAGCCGTGGGCTCCCAAGCCCTCCACGCAGGTCCACCATGAATCTCTAGTTCCGGAAGAGTTTCCTCTGCTGTTTCTTCTCCAACTCTTCATGGAACCTGCAGTATCTCCACTTTTATTAAACTGTCTCTTCCCGGACTATCAGTGTGCTCCCTTCCTATTCTGCCATCTTCTCAACTTTTTTTTTTTTAAGATTTATTTATTTACTTGAAAGTCAAAGTTACATAGAGAGAAGGAGAGGCAGAGACAGAGACAGAGGTAGAGGCAGAGGCAGAGAGAGAGAGAGAGAGGTCTTCCATCTGCTGGTCCACTCCCCAGATGGCTGCAACGGCTGGAACTGTGCCAATCTGAAGCCAAGAGCCAGGATCTTCTGCCTGGTCTCCCACACAGGTGCAGGGGCCCAAAGACTTGTGCCATCTTCTGCTTTCCCAGGCCACAGCAAAGAGCTGGATTGGAAGTGGAACAGCAGGGACTCGAACAGGCGCCCATATGGGATGCTGGCACTGCAAGAAGTGGCTTTACCTGCTATACCACAGTGCTGGCCTCTGGACCCAAAGTTGTTTGGGTAACATGAGGGAAGTGAAAATATAGGAATTGATTCTCAGTGGAAAACCAATCAATAGAAAACCAATAGCAGTGAACAATCCTTTAATGTGAAAGCATTATAATGAAGACTGTTTCTCTATGAAATCTGTTCTTGGGTTCTAGATTTTTGACATACATGTCCAAGATGATCTTCAGTGGGCACAGTCCACTAGAATTTTAAAAAAATATTAGCATATATATAACAAAACAAGACTCGGGGGGAGAGAAATCGACTATTTTTGAGTGCTTGTCCACGTCGTTACTACTTGAGTTCTGTGCTCATGGCTTTCTTCTGGAACATGGGAGAGACAACACCTCTTGTTTTATGAGAAATTCTTTGGAATGTTAAGTTGCTATGCTTCAATCTATCCAGGCTTATTGAGCAAATGGAGAGTTACTCCTTATCTTTGGGTGATAACTCAGTGGTGGAACCCAATGTAGCTGTACAATCAGTTAACATCTCTTCAGAAGGCTCTCTGGGCTCCACGAGTGTTCGCTTCTCTGTGGAGAAAGGTGAGCTGTCTCCTGTGCTTGTTCTGCTACCATTGTGAGCAATGCTCTGTTTATGAAAATGCAGACGTTTACAATTCCACCTTTTCCCTTGTCACAGGAAGTAGTGATTCTCTAGTTTCTGGTTCAACATCAGTAGAAACAAACGTGGACGGTCTGAATCCCAATGACAGGACTGAACTTCAGATCTTGCTCAATACGACAAGTAGGTATAAAATTTTGTTATGTGAAAAAGTCATGGAATTAATAACTTAAAATCTGCCAATGGAGAAAAAATATCTATGTCATTTTCTACTGAGTAGTTCACGTTTCAGTATGTTTAGGTTTTGACATATTATCATAATCTCAATTTTTAATATTCTAAATTAGAGATGATTTCCTTTTTTAAAAAAAACCCTTTGAAAAGTAGCAAAATTACAATCCTAAGGCCAAGCACACAAACCTATTTTTTCCAATAAAAACTTTGAAGTATGTGCGTACAAGGGACCTTCAATAGTTCATGAAAATACGTATTATAAAAAATTATGGATGTTCTTTGAAAATTCTTTGCATCAAAATAAAGAAGCACCCTTGTATTTTACAAAGGCTAAAATCACATTTTTTTTTTTGACAGGCAGAGTGGACAGTGAGAGAGAGAGACAGAGAGAAAGGTCTTCCTTTGCCGTTGGTTCACCCTCCAATGGCCGCCGCGGCCGGCGCGCTGCGGCCGGCGCACCGCGCTGATCCGATGGCAGGAGCCAGGAGCCAGGTGCTTTTCCTGGTCTCCCATGGGGTACAGGGCCCAAGCACCTGGGCCATCCTCCACTGCACTCCCTGGCCACGGCAGAGAGCTGGCCTGGAAGAGGGGCAACCGGGACAGAATCTGGCGCCCCGACCGGGACTAGAACCCGGTGTGCCGGCGCTGCTAGGCGGAGGATTAGCCTAGTGAGCCACGGCGCCGGCCTAAAATCACATTTTTATACAAAAAAATCAAACACACACATTTACCTTTCTTTTCTTCCCAAATGAAAAAATATCCAGTGCCAGAAGGTACATCTTTTAGAAAGAATAAGTTCATAACAGCCCTGAAAAAGAAGAGTAATATTTATGAATCTGCCTTCTGTGAAATTGTGCTTTATTTGGATATATACTAAATCCAAATCTTTCGTGTTCTTTTATACTTTTTCTTTTAATTTGAAAATACTTCATACATCTAGAAAAGCACAGAAAATGATGTAAGCAGAATCTCTGTGCCTCCCAGCCAGGCAAACAGATGTCAAACTTTGCTACATATTAGCAGTAAGTGTGGGCCTTGGGTTCCAGTACCCCTGAGGACACTCCCATCTAAGGATACTCAAGTCCCTTATATAAAAGTAATTGCACATGGCCTACATGCATCCTCTCAAATCATCTTCAAATTATCTTAATTTATCAATTATCTCTAGATTACTTATGATATCTTATGCAATGTAAATTCTCTGCAAATAGCTGTTACACTGTCTTTTTAGGGACTCGTAAGAAAAATAAGTCTGTGCAGGTTCATTACAGATGCATTTTCCTCTCAAGTATTTTCTATCTGAGGTTGGTTAAATCTGTAGAAGTGGAACTATTAAATACAGAGGGCCAACTCTATTTGATTCAGACGTTTTAAGAATAAAAGAAAGTATTACAGCTGTACCTGAAACTCTCTGCTTGCCTCTTTCCCATTTCTCCTTCCCAGAAATTATATCTGAATTTGGTGTGTATCATTTTTATGGTTGTTTTTGAGTTTTTGCTGCATATTTATGTTTCCCTCAAGAAAACATCATATTGGCGCCACGGCTCACTAGGCTAATCCTCCATCTTGCGGCACCGGCACACCAGGTTCTAGTCCCGGTCGGGGCGCCAGATTCTGTCCCGGTTGCCCCTCTTCCAGGCCAGCTCTCTGCTGTGGCCAGGGAGTGCAGTGGAGGATGGCCCAAGTCCTTGGGCCCTGCACCCCAGGGGAGACCAGGAGAAGTGCCTGGCTCCTGCCATCGGATCAGCGCGGTGCGCCAGCCGCAGCGCGCCAGCCGCGGCGGCCATCGGAGGGTGAGCCAACGGCAAAGGAAGACCTTTCTCTCTGTCTCTCTCTCTCTCTCACTGTCCACTCTGCCTGTCAAAAAAAAAAAAAAAAAAAAAAGAAAAAGAAAACATCATATTGTTGGGAATGTTTTAAATACTTATATAAATGGTACCATGTTGTATGGAACTTGCTTCCTTAACCTTAACATCCTTTTCCAGAGGTTTATTCATGTGTGTTATCAAGCTTATTAACTTTTGCCATTCTGATAAGTGTGAAACAGATATTATTATTTCCCTTTTGCAGCTTGGAAGTTCAATGGCAGTTCATTGTTAGATTTTACTATCCCTTGATTTGAGCATTTTTCCATGTGTTTACTAAGCATTCAGATTTCCTACTCTGTGACTTATCTGTCCAAATACTGTAATCATTTTTATATTGAAATTTTTTTCTTATTGCTCATTATAAATTTTTTGTAGATTCTTCATATTAACTCTTTGTTGGTTATATAAATAGCAAATATCTTCCCTCCAGCCTGTAGCTGATCTTTTCCTTAATCTTTGTAATTGTTTATTTAATTACTTATGTATTCGAGGTAGAAGTGGAGAGGAAGACAGACAGGGAGAGGGAGAGGCAGGACGTGGAGAGAGAGGCTGGTGCTGTGGCACAGTGGGTTAAACTATCTTCTGCAGTACTGGCATCCCATATGGATGCTGGTTCAATTGCTGGCTGCTCCACTTCTCCACATTAGCTCCCTGCTAATGTGATTGAGAAAGCAGTAGATGATGGCCCACATCCTTGGGTCCCTGCACCCACGTGGGTGACCTGAAAGAAGCTCTTGGCTCCTGGCTTCAGTCTGGCCCAGCCCTGACTATTGCAGCCATTTGGGGAGTGACCCAGGGAATGGAAGATCTTTCTCTCTGTTTCTTCTCTCTCTCTCTGTAACTCTGTCTTTCAAATAGTAAGCAAATCTTAGTGAGAGAGCGAGAGAGAGAGAGAGAGAGGGAGAGAAAATAAATCTCCCATCTACTGATTTACTCCCCAAATGCCTGCAATAGCCAGGGTTGGGCCAGGCTGGAGCCAGGAGTAGGGAACTCAGTCTGAGGTTTTCCATGTGAGTAGTATGGACCCATGTACTTGAGCTATCATTTGCTGCCTCCCAGAGAGTGCATTAGTGGGAAACTAGACTTGAGACTGGACCTGGGACTTGAACCTAGGCATTTCAATATGAGATGCAGATATTGCAATAGACATCTTAGCTACTAGACCAAACATCTGTCCCCTCCTTAGTTTCAAATGATTCTCTGTTATACCAAAATATTAATTTGTTGTATATCAATGCTTCTAGTGTATCAATCTTTTCTTCTATAGTTGGTACATTTTATCCTTTTAAAAAGAAATCCTTCCCTATCCTAGATTTATCACGTTAATTTCTTGTTTTCTTCTGAAAGTTGTGTTTGTTTTCATATGAGGACACTTCAAAAAGTTCGTGGAAAGCAGAATTAAAAGATATTGTGCATTTTCTATAAATTTTAGGTTTTTAGTGCTCCTAGAATTCATTTTTGTGTTTAGAGAATGGAATATAGTTTTATTCAGTAGAGATAATCAATATATTAGAATGTGTTAAAAGCACCATTTAAAAATATTTATTTGAAAGACAGAATTACAGAGAGAGAGAGGGAGAGAGACAGAGACAGACAGACAGACAGGAGAGGAGAGATAAATTTTCCATGTGCTAGTTCACCACTCAAATGACTGCAACAGCCATGGCTTGGCCAAGCTGAAGACAGGAGCCTGGAGCTTCTTCCAGGCTTCCAATGTAAGTGCTGGGGCACAAACACTTAGGCCATCTTCTGCTGCTTTTGTAGGAACATTAGGAGGGAGCTGGATCAGAAGTGGAGCAACCAGGGCTTGAGCTGGAGCCCATATGGAATACTTGTATCACAGGTGGCAGCTTAACCTACTGGGCCCACAATACTGGCCCCAATTTACTCAAATTAAATAAATTAAGTTGTCACACAGTGCCAACAATGACAAGAAGCAGGTTTTTTTTATCTATTTATTTGAAAGTCAGAGAGAGAAGGGGAGGCAGACAGAGAGAGAGAAAGGTCTTCCATCTGCTGGTTCACTCCCCAATTGGCTGCAACAGCTGGAGCTGCGCCGATCCAAAGCTGGGAGCCAGGAGCCTCTTCTGGTCCTCCCACAGAGGTGCAAGGGCCTAAGAACTTGGGCCATCCTCCACTGCTTTCCCAGGCCATAGTAGAGAGCTAGATCAGAAGTGGAGCAGCCGGGACTCGAACCAGCGCCCATATGGGATGCTGACACTGCAGATGGAGACTTTACCTGCTATGCCACAGTGCTGGCCCCGACAAGGAGCATTTTATGTTGACTGCTCTGTGGTTCATTTACTGATTTTAGTGTCTTTTTTCCTCACAGAAAATGCTCAGACATGTGGCTTTGTGGTGTATCAAAACAGCAAGCTTTTCCAGTCAAAAACGTTTATAGCTAAATCTAATTTTAGTCAAAAAATTATCTCATGTACAACTGATGAAAATGATCAAGATCAGAGTGCATCAGTTGAAATGGTCTTTAGTCCAAAGGTAAGATTTCCCATTAACAGAAATTAAGAATCCAGGCCATTCTCAATTACAAAAGCAGAGAAACTGGGAGAACTATTATTGGAAAGAACCTTTGAAGTATTCATTTAAATCTTCTCACCCACATCTTTTATCAAACTTATTAGTAAAAATTTAAGTAATTTGAATTTTATGTGCTTTTCTCTATCTATAATGAAGACGCTAATGCTTAGTACATATTTAACTGATTTCTCACATGTCTATCACATCCTATTTTTTTTGTACAAAAATAAGTGTTACAAATTCAGTAATTGTGACTGTCTTATCAATTCACAGTATAACCAGAGAGAATTCCAACTCCATTACTACGCCTGTGTCCATTGGAATTTTTTAACAAAGGATTGGGACACATATGGCTGTCACAAAGACAGGACCACTGATGGATTCCTGCACTGTCGCTGCAACCATACTACCAATTTTGCAGTATTGTTGGTAAGATATAAATAATAAACTCTTCCAGACAAGAATTTTCCTTACAACACTTATACTGTGTGCTAATAGGAGATAACTTCGTTGTTTTTTTTTTTTTACTTTTATTTAATAAATATAAATTTCCAAAGTATAACTTTTGGATTACAGTGGCTTTTTCCCCCCATAACCTCCCTCCCACCCACAACCATCCCATATCCTACTCCCTCTCCCACCCCATTTACATCAAGATTCATTTTCAATTCTCTTTATATACAGAAGGTCAATTTAGTAAATACTAAGTAAAGTTTTCAACAGTTTGCACCCACACAGAAACACAAAGTGTAAAGTACTGTTTGAGTACTAGTTATGCTGTTAATTCACATTGTACAACATATTAAGGACAGAGATCCTACATGGGGAGTAGGTGCATAGTGACTCCTGTTGTTGATTTAACAATTGACACTCTTATTTATGGCATCAGTAATTACCTGAGGCTCTTGTCATGAGCTGCCAAGGCTATGGAAGCCTTTTGAGTTCATCAATTCTGATCTTATTTAGACAAGGCCATAGTCAAAGTGGAAGTTCTCTCCTCCCTTCAGAGAAAGGTACCTCCTTCTTTGATGACCTGTTCTTTCCACTGGGATCTTACTAGTAGAGATCTTTCATTTAGGTCATTTTTTTTTCTTTTGCCAGAGTGTCTTGGCTTTCCATGCCTAAAATACTCTCATGGACTTTTTAGCTGGATCTGCATGCCTTAAGGGCTGATTCTGAGGCCAGAGTGCTATTTAGGACATCTGCCATTCTATGAGTCTGCTGTGTATCCCGCTTTCCATGTTGGATTGTTCTCTCCTTTTCAATCCTATCAGTTAGTATTATCAGACACTAGTCTTGTTTGTGTGATCCCTTTGACTCTTAGTCCTATCATCATGATCAATTATGAACTGAAATAAATCACTTTGACTAGTGAGATGGCATTGGTACATGCCACCTTGATGGGATTGTACTGGAATCCCCTGGCACGTTTATAACTCCACCTTTTGGGGCAAGTCAGCTTGAGCATGTCCCAAATTGTACATCTCTTCCCTCTCTTATTCCCACTCTTATATTTAACAGGGATCACTTTTCAGTTAAGTTTAAACACCTAAGAATAATTGTGTGTTAATTACAGAGTTCAACCAATAGTATTAAGTAGAACAACCACAAAAATACTAAAAGGGATAACATATTAAGTTGTTCATCAACAGTCAGGACAAGGGCTGATCAAGTCACCTTTTTTCATAGTGTCCATTTCACTTCAACAGGTTTCCCCTTTGGTGCTCAGTTAGTTGTCACTGATCAGGGAGAACATATGATATTTGTCCCTTTGGGACTGGCTTAAGTCACTCAGAATGATGTTTTCCAGATTCCTCCATTTTGTTGCAAATGATCGGATTTCATTTTTTTGACTGCTGTGTAGTATTCTATAGAGTAAATATCCCATAATTTTTTTATCCAGTCTACTGTTGATGGGCATTTAGGTTGATTCCAGGTCTTAGCTATTGTGAATTGAGCTGCAATATACATTGAGGTTCAGACAGCTCTTTTATTTGCCAATTTAATTTCCTTTGGGAATAGGAGATAACTTTGGGTTTGTTTACATTGATTCTCTACTCACTTCAAATACAAAGACAGAGTAGAGTGATAGGATTAAAAAGGAAAGACCTGGTTAAGGCAGGTGGAATGGAAGCTTTGCCATATAATGGTCTTAGGATAAGTTCAGCCCTGTGTATTTAATAAGGGAAAGGGAGCCCATGTGTACGTGTCCTGAAGCATCAGGTTGTTATAGCCAGAGGTAAGGCTCTGTGGCTGGGTCATGGGCACAGACTCAGTACATACTTGCTCATACCTGTTTAAATCAGCTACTCAAAACTTTTTTCTACCAGAATCATCAGAGTTGTTAATTTTATTTCCAGAAGATATAGAAAGAAAAGCTTTTGATTTCATTCCATTTGTCCCATAGTTCCTCTGTGTATTCCTTAATTCTTTAATTCCAAAGAAACACTGTGTAAGTAGCTGATAACACTGCTCTGGCATGAAGCTCTAGAGGCATCTGTAAGCTCTGTTCCTGGCCCTGTAAGGAGAGGAGCTTCTGTGTTCTCCATTTCCAAAAGCTTATTTTTTCTGGTGAAACCAAAAATGCTATTTATCTGATCAAGTGTTTTTATCGACAATGAAACGAGGAGGTATACAGTGCTTTCCCTTTATGGAGGGACTCTCAGTGCTGGAATAGCCCAAAGAGAAGCATCTATTTTCACTCTCCACTGGGTGTGATGTAGCCATACAATAGAGATCAGTTGAACCTGCTGGTACAACATATATTATCAAAGCATAGAACTTGGATTTTCAAATTTTTTTGAGATAACTTTAGTTTTCCCATTTTGGTTATCAAATTATTATTTAACTGATTCTGATTATTTATTTTCTAACTTTAATTACAGAGAGATCTTTCTCATTTGGAAGATATTGAAGATAAGACATCATTGTTGATATCTTAAAGTCACAGTATCGTTGATTGGCTTTGGAAAGCTCAAGTTGCTACACATATTACATGATACAGACTATTTGTCGTAGTTCTCTTTCTCCTTTGTTGATGTCAGCTTTTCAGTTGTTTCTCCTTACTAACATTTGAGTCTACTTCAGGGCCTACCTACCCACATTTGTAATTAGCTTAGGGTTGTACAAAAATATTTTTTAAAGGGCTGACGAGTTATATGTAAAATAAGAGCATATAGGCTCTCAGGGAGTAGATTTCTAAGATTTGAAGATCTATGTAGTCCATGATTCTGTGGACATCTACTGAGTAATCTACATGTAAGATATAGCATGAAATGTTTGTTTTATTTTAAAATGAAGTTTATTATTATTTCCTTCCTACAGAAGTAATATATTGTCCTTGCGTAAAGTATGAAAGCTTGTCCACTAAATAGAAATATACTTATGTGGAAAAATGTTTATGGTAAACTAAAATAGTAATCAACATAATCCTGTTAAATAAACAAACTCCAAAATATTTATATAAGAGATATGGATAATTTTTAAAATTTTTTTTTATTTTAGACAGTGAGAGAGACAGAGAAAGGTCTTTCTTTCTGTTGGTTCACCCCCCAAATGGCTGCTACAGCCGGTGCACTGCGTGGATCTGAAGCCAGGAGCCAGATGCTTCCTCCTGGTCTCCCATACGGGTGCACCGCAACAGAACCCAGTGCCCCAACCGGGACTAGAACCCAGGGTGCCAGCCCTGCAGGCGGAGGATTAGCCAAATGAGCCACGGTGCCGGCCAAAGTATAGATAATGTTTTTAAGCACACAAAGAACTAGCTCCTATAGAGAAAAGACAGGATTCCCAAGGTTAGGGAAGGTGTATAGTAGTTGGCAGTAAAGAATATATCCTTTTATTATGTTTCTTCAGAACTTTCATGTTTTATAAGCAAGAAAATACTGCTTTTATAATTTTCACAATTTAGAAATCATAAACTACAGATATGCAAAAAGAATTGTACCTATCCTCCCTGCCCAGTAACCTCCAGATTCCTAAAAGGGCACACAGGGATTATACTTTTCTATGTGTGTTACTGACATATGGGGATAGATTTAGATATGTTAGATAAAAGTGAGACCTCCTTTCTTAAAAAACTATATACAATTATATCTACAGCTTTCCATGTCTATGAAGATACTTCTGCTTTATCTTTAGCAAATTTGCTTAGATATTCTTGTGTTATAATTACACTTTAATATAATGGATAAATGAAGCAACTCTAGCCAACTTAGATCTAATCTAAATAGGTTTTATTTAGACAATGTCAAAAAGTATATGTATTTTCCTTAACAGAGTTAGGTAACTGTTCTCAGGCCTTTACTTTACATAAACTGCTTAGAGATAAGGGGCTAATTTACTTCATTTAAAAATACATCAAACACTTTATACCGAAGAAGACATATCTAGCAACTTTCCGGTTATTTTGACTAATCTATCTCTTTATGATGTTGACTTTGATTGACATTTCAGGAGTGATTATTTTAAAATGAGTGTTAACTTATTTTTCAGACTTTCAAAAAGGATTATCAATATCCTGAATCACTAAATGTAATATCCAATATTGGATGTGCACTCTCCATTGCTGGTCTGGTTCTCACAATTGTGTTTCAGATTCTCACCAGGTAAGTGCAAAATAGGTGCTTTTCATAAGCAGAACTGCTATCCTGATATAACTTACTCTGAACATATTCCTATCAAAACACACTTTCACTGAACTAGAAGAGAAGATAGATTTAGTTCAACAACCTTAGTTTATAGAGAGGGATACTCAGACTTGAAAGTGCTAAGGCCTATACACAAATAAATGTGTAATTATAAATTGTGGCACATACCTTGAAGGAAAATTGCCAGGTATTGTGATGACAAGTTTATCAGGTAAAATTACTGTGGTCCCAAAGATCATGAATACCTGGATTCCCTATTGTTGAATTGAACCATGTCTACCTACCAATTTGTATAAGCAAGAAATACTGCAAAAAAGCAAATTTTGGAAAATAATTTAAATAAATCAATGTAAAGTTTTCAAATGGTGATGCTTTTTAATGCCTTTAAATTCTATAGTTTGAAAAAAATGTTTAAAATAATTTCCTGTAAACACATACCTCTCTCAAACTTGACCCCTTCATTCAAGGTCCAGTTTTGTTTCTTACTTCTTACTCTTTTTTGTCACATGCTACGTTTTTAGCAACCAGTAATCTCCTATCAGCATGTTCATTTGTTAGTTTATTTGCTTACTGTCTATTTTCCCCATTAGAATGACTCTTATGGCCGGCGCCGCGGCTCACTAGGCTAATCCTCCGCCTAGCGGCACCGGCACACTGGGTTCTAGTCCCGGTCAGGGCGCCGGATTCTGTCCCGGTTGCCCCTCTTCCAGGCCAGCCCTCTGCTGTGGCCAGGGAGTGCAGTGGAGGATGGCCCAGGTGCTTGGGCCCTGCACCCCATGGGAGACCAGGAGAAGCACCTGGCTCCTGGCTCCTGCCATCGGATCAGCACGGTGCGCCGGCCGCAGCGTGCCGGCCGCGGCGGCCATTGGAGGGTGAACCAACGGCAAAAGGAAGACCTTTCTCTCTGTCTCTCTCTCTCACTGTCCACTCTGCCTGTAAAAAAAAAAAAAAAAAGACTCTTATGAGGATAAAGATCTCTTTTGATTTTGTTGTTCCTGTTGGTTTTCCTTTGCTTTCATGGCTGTATCCATGGGGTTAAGGGAAGTACTTGCCCATAACAAATGATTCTCTGTGGAATAAATGGTTTACTGAGGATTCCTACTTGGGCCTCTTCAAAAACTCAAGATGCGTCAGGATAAATGCATATTTCCTCAGAATCATTTATCCTTACTAAATCTACTTTCTCAGAAGTAGAGTTTTTCAAGATCCTGCCATTAAGATTTTTCCTATTGTTTTTTTTAACTTTTATTTAGTAAATATAAATTTACAAAGTACAGTTTATGGATTACAATGGCTTCCCCCCCATAACTTCCCTCCCACTCGCACCCCTCCCATCTACCACTCCCTCTCCCATTCCATTCACATCAAGATTCATTTTCAATTCTCTTTATATAGAGAAGGTCAATTTAGTAAATACTAAGTAAAGATTTCATCAGTTTGCACCCACACAGAAACACAAAGTGTAAAAATACTGTTTGAGTACTAGTTATGGCATTACTTCACATGGACAACACATTAAGGACAGATCCCACATGAGGAGTAAGTACACAGTGACTCCTGTTGTTGATTTAACAATTTGACACTCTTGTTTATGGTGTCAGTAAGCACTCTAGGCACTAGTCATGAGTTGCCAAGACTATGGAAGCCTTTTGAGTTCATCAATTCTGATCTTATTTAGACAAGGCCATAGTCAAAGTGGGAGTTCTCTCCTCCCTTTAGAGAAAGGTACCTCCTTTTTTTGCAACAGTGTCTTGGCTTTCCATGCCTAAAATACTCTCATGGGCTCTTCAGCCATATCCGAATGCCTTAAGAGCTGATTCTGAGGCCAGAGTGCTATTTAGGACACCTGCTATTCTATGAGTCTGCTGTGTATCCTGCTTTCCATGTTGGATTGTTCTCTCCTTTTCAATCCTATCAGTTAGTATTATCAGACACTAGTCTTGTTTGTGTGATCCCTTTGACTCTTAGTCCTATCATCATGATCAATTATGAACTGAAATAAATCACTTTGACTAGTGAGATGGCATTGGTACATGCCACCTTGATGGGATTGTACTGGAATCCCCTGGCACGTTTATAACTCCACCTTTTGGGGCAAGTCAGCTTGAGCATGTCCCAAATTGTACATCTCTTCCCTCTCTTATTCCCACTCTTATATTTAACAGGGATCACTTTTCAGTTAAGTTTAAACACCTAAGAATAATTGTGTGTTAATTACAGAGTTCAACCAATAGTATTAAGTAAATAACCACAAAAATACTAAAAGGGATAACGTATTAAGTTGTTCATCAACAGTCAGGACAAGGGCTGATCAAGTCACCTTTTCTCATAGTGTCCATTTCACTTCAACAGGTTTCCCCTTTGGTGCTCAGTTAGTTGTCACTGATCAGGGAGAACATATGATATTTGTCCCTTTGGGACTGGCTTAAGTCACTCAGAATGATGTTCTCCAAATTCCTCCATCTTGTTGCAAATGATCGTATTTCATTGTTTTTGACTGCTGTGTAGTGTTCTATAGAATACATGTCCCATAATTTCTTTATCCAGTCTACTGTTGATGGGCATTTGGGTTGGTTCCAGGTCTTAGCTATTGTGAATTGAGCTGCAATAAACATTAAGGTTCAGACAGCTTTTTTGTTTGCCTATTTAATTTCCTTTGGGTAAATTCCAAGGAGTGGGACGGTTGGGTTGAATGGTAGGGTTATATTCAGGTTTCTGAGGAATCTCCAGGCTGACTTCCATAGTGGCTTAACCAGTTTGAATTCCCACCAACAGTGGGTTAGTGTCCCTTTTTCCCCACATCCTCTCCAGCATCTATTGTTGGTAGATTTCTGAATGTGAGCCATTCTAACTGGGGTGAGGTGAAATCTCATTGTGGTTTTGATTTGCATTTCCCTGATTGCTAGTGATCTTGAATATGTTTTCATGTACCTGTTGGCCATTTGGATTTCCTCTTTTGAAAAATGTCTATTGAGGTCCTTGGCCCATCTCTTAAGTGGGTTGTTTGTTTTGATGTTGTGGAGTTTCTTGATTTCTTTGTAGATTCTGGTTATCAACCCTTTATCTGTTGCATATTTTGCAAATATTTTTTCCCATTCTGTCAGTTGCTCTTCACTTTCCTGACTGTTTCTTTTGAAGTACAGAAACTTCTCAATTTGATGCAATCCCAAATGTTAATTTTGGCTTTGACTGCCTGTTCTTCAGGGGTCTTTTCCAAGAAGTCTTTGCCAGTACCTATATCTTGCAGAGTTTCTCCAATGTTCTCTAATAATTTGATGGTGTCATTCGTAGATTTGAGTCTTTAATCCATGTTGAGTGGATTTTTGTGTAAGGTGTAAGGTAGGGGTCTTCCTTCTGCACGTGGAAATCCAATTTTCCCAGCACCATTTAATGAATAGACTGTCCTTATTCCAAGGATGGGTTTTGGATCCTTGATCAAATATAAGTTGGCTGTAGAAGTTTGGATTGATTTCTGGTGTTTCAATTCTGTTCCATTGGTCTATCCATCTGTTTCTGTACCAGTACCATGCTGTTTTGATAAAAACTGCCCTGTAGTATGTCCTGAAATCTGGTATTGTGATGCCTCTGGCTTTGTTTTTGTTCTACAAGATTGCTTTAGCTATTTTAGATCTCCTGTGTCTCCATATGAATTTCAGCATCATTTTTTCCAGATCTGAGAAGAATGTCTTTGGTATCTTGATTGGTATTGCATTGAATCTATAAATTGCTTTTGGGAGAATGGACATTTTGATGATATTGATTCTTCCAATCCATGGATGGAAGGTTTTTCCATTTTTTGGGATCCTCTTCTATTTCTTTCTTCAAATTTTTGTAATTTTTATCATAGAGGTCTTTAACGTCCTTGGTTAAGTTTATTCCAAGGTATTTTATTATTTTTGTAGCTATTGTGAATGGGATTGATCTTAGCAGTTCTTTCTCAGCCGTGGCATTGCCTGTGTATACAAAGGCTGTTGATTTTTGTGCACTGATTTTATATCCTGCTACTTTGCCAAACTCTTCTATGAGTTCCAATAGTCTCTTAGTAGAGTTCTTTGGATCCCCTACAGAAAGAATCATATCATCTGCAAAGAGGGATAGTTTGAGTTCTTCCTTCCCAATTTGTATCCCTTAAATTTCTTTTTCTTGCTTGATGGCTCTGGCTAAAACGTCCAGAACTATGTTGAATATCAGTGGTGAGAGTGGGCATCCCTGTCTGGTACCAGATCTCAGTGGAAATGCTTCCAACTTTTCCCCATTCAATAGGATGTTGGCCATGGGGTTTTCATAAATTGCTTTGATTGTATTGAGGAATGTTCCTTCCATACCCAGTTTGCTTAGAGTTTTCATCACGAAAAGGTGTTGTATTTTATCAAATGTTTTCTCGGCGTCTATCGAGATAATCATATGGTTTTTCTTCTGCAGTCTGTTAATGTGGTGTATCACATTGATTGTTATGTGCACATTGAACCATCCCTGCATACCAGGGATAAATCCCACATGGTCTGGGTGGATGATCTTTCTGATGTGCTATTGCATTCTATTGGCCAGAATTTTATTGAGGATTTTTGTGTCTATGTTCATCAGGAATATTGGTCTGTAATTTTCTTTCAATGCTGCATCTTTTTCTGGCTTAGGGATTAAGATGATGCTGGCTTCATAGAAAGACTTTGGGAGGATTCCTTCTTTTTCGATTGTTCTGAATAGTTTGAGAAGAAATGGAGTTAGTTCTTCTTTAAATGTCTGGTAGAATTCAGCAGTGAATCCATCTGGTCCTGGGCTTTTCTTTGTTGGGAGGGCCTTTATTACTGTTTCAATTTCTGTCTCAGTTATGGGTCTATGTAGGTTTTCTATGTCTTACTGGTTCAATTTAGGTAGGTTGCATGTGTCCAGGAATCTATCCATTTCTGATAGATTTCCCTGTTTGCTGGCATACAAGTCCTTGCAGTAATTTCTGATGA